GTGGGCACGCGCGCGGGGCCAGGCCGCTGCTCGCTCTCGCTCCTGCTACCTCTCCGGCCACGGACACACCTCCTGCACCCAGCCCGTCCCTCCCAGCACCCCCGTTCTCGCTCGCCCCGGGGGTTGCCCCCAGTTCACGGGGACCCCTCGCAGCCGAGTATTCCTTGCTCGGAGAGCGCGGGGCACTCACCTTCCACACCTGGCACAGCCCTTCCCTCAGCTGGGGGTCCAGCCTCTGGTTGAGGTCCCAGCTCCCCAGCCTTCCGCGGTGCGCCCCATCGCGTCACTGTCCCCGCTCAGCACCCCACTGCCAGCTCGACCTGGGAAGGGACTGTCCTGTTCCCTGCGGCCAGAAGTACCACACCACCTGCTCGGCGAGTGCTTGCTGGGCACCAGCGGCCGCTGGGGGCTCCGCTACCCCCCCACTGGACCGAAGCCCCGACCGCCCGCGTAAGTCCTCGTATCCTTCCGGGGCTCCGGGGCGGCTCTGTGGGGAGGTGGCCCTGAGGCTGTCCTGTCGCACTGGACTGCTGCGTCCAACATCCGTCCCCCCCAAGCCAGGGCGCCCCTCGGCTGTCTGTCCAAGGTGGCGCCCAAGTCCAACTCACTCTGGCTCAGAACAGGTTTCTATCCATATTTTATTTGCCTGTTTTTTTTTTTTGTTTTGTTTTGTTTTTATTAAATAAAAGTAGCAGAGGGAGAGGGGGGCCTGTGGTCTCGGCTGGGCCCCAGGGAGAGCCAGGGGCCCACCCCTCCCTCCGTTCAAGGTGCATGGCGTGCTGGGCTGGAGTGTAAGCTGGGCGGGGAGGGCGGCTGGGAGCTTGGGGCCGTCAGGTCGGGTGCCCACCTCCTCCCAGGCCCCAGGAAGACTGCGTGGGCAGGGAGGGGGCCTCCTGGGCCACCCTGGGGCTCATCCCTGGGGCGGGGCGCTGGAGCGGAGCTCCGAGTCGCAGGGCGGTCCCCGGCCGGCTGGGCCCCTTCCCACCCAGGAGGAAGGGGCGACAGTGTCCAGTCACTGGCGGGTGCGAGGCGTGGGCGGGGCACGGGTCCCTCACTCGTGCACGTCCCAGATCTCGGACAGCAGAGGCGGCAGCTTCTTGTCCTGGAGCCGCAGTGCGAAGACCTGCTCCGAGTGCACGGAGCTGAGCGTGCGCAGGCTCACCAGCTTCATGAGCATGCGCGGGAAGCGCAGCTGGTCCTGCGGGCAGAGGGCGCTGTGGGCGGGCTGTGCCAGGCCAGGCGCCGTGGGCGAGGCTGGCTGCGCTGAGGGCCGGAGCCCTGTGCGGGGTGGGGGGCGGGCGCCGGCCGTACCTGCGGCCTCTTGATGCGCGTGTAGGAGAGCAGCGCCTCCACGTAGGGCTGCTGCAGCGCCTCCACGCGGCCGGGCTCCTGCACGTTGGGCCGGTCGGCCGAGAAGATGTTGATGGCGATGAGGAGGGCGTACTCCGCGTCGTCCAGGCCCAGCCGCCGCATGGCCCGCGAGAACTCGAAGATGGGGTTGATGAATTCCACTTGCAGGCCTGAGGGCGGGAGGCCAGCTGACAACTCCCCCACCCGCTGCCCCCGTCAACGGAGGGCGGAACCGCATTGGTCCACGGGGTCCCCGCTGGCTTGTCGCCTGGATAATGCAGCAAACCACAAGGGCGGGCGTTCCCAGGACTTCTCTCCCCTCCTGCTCCCGGGCCGCCTCAGCACTGTGAAGCTGCCCACAGCCGCTGCAGCCTGAGTTCGACCCCTGGCCAGGGAGGGACCCCAGGGTGCAGCAGACCTCTCCTGGCTCCCGGCTGCTCCCCCAGCAGTGGATCGCATAGATCTGCCTGTTCTGCTCCCTGCTCTGTCTCTAACGAGTCCTCTTATCTGCTATCTCTGGCCTACACCCCAGCTCTTGTGAGCATATATGAATAAAGCAAATGTTTTTTAAAAAACCCTGAGAGCTCAGACAGGGTCTAGAGGGCCAGAGTCGCCTGCCCGGGCGCACCTGCGCGGTGGAAGTCGTCCTTGCTGTAGGTGAAGTCCTTCAGGAAGGTGATGCACTCGGTCTCGTGGTTGTAACGCCTGGCCGTCTCCAGCAGCATGATCTGCGTGGCAGGGGAGCAGGGGTCTCTGTGACCCTCTAGGCAGCGCCCCTCAAGTGGGGGGCCCGGGCGCACCCAGACCGACGCTGCTCTCTTAGCAACAGCAGCCTGCGGTGTGGACACTGCAGCTGGCCTCCCTCTGGGTCCAGCACGCAGGGCGCCGTGGCCCGGGCTGCGCCCAAGCAGCCAGGAGGCCCGGGGCAGGGACTGCTGCCTGTCCGGGTGGCTGCGCCGGCTGAGCACTGCGGCGCTGCAGCATCCAGCAGGCTCAACACAGAGCCGCTGCCGTGGCTCCGGGTCGAGCCGCGGAGCCTAGCAGCCCCGCTGGCAGAAGCGCATGGCCTCCAGCCCGGTCCTCAGCTGCTTTCCCTCCTCGCCCGGCTCATGGGGGCTCTGAGGATCCTGTCCAGTACTCTGCCATTCCCGGGCAGGGTACTGCCCCCAGGCAAGGGCCTGCGGGTGTGCTCATCGTGTGCGCCCAGCCTATCCGGGGTTCCGGGTGGGCAGCGGGCTGGCTGTTACCTCGATGGTAGAAGCCTTCAGAAGGGCGATCTGGTCCTCACGGCCCAGCTGCAGAAAGCCGGGCACCTGCTTGGCAAAGTCCACGATCTCCTGGACCGAGATGATGGCCAGCTCCGTGAAGTGGGCAAAACGCTGCTGGCGGGCGTCGCGGGACTGGGGGTCTGCACCCAGGGGCCAGGGCTGGGGGGACACAGGGCCAGGGCGGCTGTCAAGACTCCTGGGAGCCCCAGGCACCCTGAGGCCAGCCCGCACCCAGCTGACCCGCGAGCCCAGGCCCCGCCCTCTGCGAGCCACGGGCAGTGGGGCGGCAGTACCGTGACTTTGGGCTGGTCGGAGAAGGAGCGCTTGTTGCACTGCCGCTGGGCCGCCACGAGCTGCTGGATCATGAGTTCCTGGGCGGCGGTGAGCTGCACGCCCTCACCGTCCCCAGGGCCCTGGCCACCCACTTCGGACGCTCCAGGGGAGGCTCCGGGCCCGGGGGCCGAGCTGCTGCTGCTGCTGCCCAGGGCCCCGGGCGGCTGCTGCTGCTGCTGCTGCTGCTGCTTCCGGATCTTCTTCTTCCGGATCTGTTCTTCAGAGAGGACACCTGGGGGCGGGAGGCAACGGCCTCAGCGGCGGCCCCAGGCACGGCCAGGCCGCGCGGCCGCCCGCCGGGCACTCACACTGCTCCCGCATCCCGGCCTCCTTGCACTTGCGCAGCCGGCACTGCTGGCACTTGCGCCGCATGAAGGCGTCCATCTGGCACGTGCCGCCACCCCGGCAGGCATAGCGCCCCGCCCCGCCGCGGACCACGCTGCGCCGGAAGAAGCCCTTGCAGCCCTCGCAGCTGAGCACGTTGTAGTGGAAGCCGGAGGCCTTGTCCCCACACACGCGGCACAGCTCATGGCCCAGCATCTTCGGCGCCGGGCCCTTCTTCCGCTTGCGCTCCGGCTCCTCGCCAGGGTCTGCAAGGACAGGGGCGTGCATGGTCAACAGGGGCCAGCTGGAGCCGGAGCCCCAGAGGCAGAGCCAGAGGGTGGAGGCGGAGCCCGGGACCGAGCGTCCAGCGGGGACGAGGGGTCAGCGGCGGAGCCTGAAGGAACAGTGTCATGGAGGAAGAGCACAGAACGGAGAAGTCTGCACCGCCGGGTCCCTCTCCCTGCTCCTGTGCCCTCTCCTCTGGTCTGAGCCCCGAGCCCCGAGCCCCAATAACAGCCCCCATCCCTAGACCCCTTCTCACCCATGCTGCTGGCTGTGTCTGCCCCATTAGTGCCTGGGACGTCAGGGTCTGGGCCCCCCGGCCAGGGTTCAGGACCCTCCTCCTTTACAGCCGGTGAAGAAGAGGGGGTGCTGGGCTGAGGGGGGTCATTTCCTGGGAGAGGGAGGCACAGTGAGTTTTTCCTGACGAGTCTGTGATGGGAACACGGTGGGTGGCAAAGGGGATCACTCACCTGGCAAGGGGGTGTCCAGAGAACTTGTGGTGGTGGTGGACATGGTGGGGTCACGGAGCAGCCTGCAAAATACAGGGGCGCTGGAAGGAGAGCCTTGTGGAGCCAGAGGGTCAGCCACAGGCTCACCGGGGGCACTTCTCTTCCACCTCTCCCAAATTCCTCCACCCCTTCCGCCCTCCCATAAACACCTCCCTCAGTCCCTGACAGCCTGCAACCCCTACCCACCAATTCTACCTGGGCCCTGCCTACTGGCTCCAGAGCAACCTGCTAGGTCTCAAGTCCAGCCCTCCCCACAGGCTCCACCCCGATTCCATCCACCAGCCCTTTCCGGGTCTTGCCCTTTCAGCTTCAGTGATGCTTCAGCCTTCCGCCATCCCACTGCTCCATCTCACCTATTACTCAGATCCCACCCCACCTCTGGCTAGCAAGCCCCCCACAATTGTCTCACTCCACCCACTCCAGCTATGCT